ACGCCTAACTGGTTCTACAGGATCTGCTGCACACATTTTTTTTTGGCAAATTGCTTCGCATACATTATAGTGTCATATGCAGATTTACAGCTGAGGGGCCACCACAGTGACGGAACAACCTAAATTTGTCTACCTCAGGGAAAGCAAGAGAAATCTTTCCAAATTCCAGTTGTGTTTGATATTCACTTACAGCACTGTTTGGTTTACCTTATATTAATATCCCTTTTAACTGATAGGCTGTACATGTGAAGATGTCCAAATAACTGCACCTGATCAAAAATAAACCACAATACTCCTTTAACATCAAGACTGTGTACAAATGTACTGACTAATCACAGAATAAGAAGAGCCATTTGTTTTTTCAGGCTGCTCTACGCAGAGAGCTGAGGTGGCCTTCAGAACTCTTGGAAAGGTCTTGCAAAGAGATAACTGAAGTCATGTCAAAGTAAAATGAGTCAGCTGTTTATGATTGTACTGAAACTGAACGTCAAAACAAAAGGTCCATTTGTGTATAGTTTAAAAATCTTATGAAATTCAAAACGTGCATGTGAGCAACATTCATTCATTCATTCATTCATTCATTCATCTTCTAACCGCTTCATCCTCTTGAGGGTCGCGGGGGGGCTGGAGCCTATCCCAGCTGACATCGGGCAAAAGGCAAGGTACACCCTGGACAGGTAGCCAGACTATCGCAGGGCTGACACATAGAGACAAAGAACCACTCACGCTCACATTCACACCTACGGACAATTTAGAGTTATCAGTTAACCTAGTCCCCAATCTGCATGTCTTTGGACTGTGGGAGGAAGCCGGACTGCCTGGAGAGAACCCACGCTGACACGGGGAGAACATGCAAACTCCACACGGAAGGGCTCACACACCCGGGATCGAACCGGCAACCCTCTTGCTGTGAGGCGACAGTGCTAACCACCAAACCACCGTGCCACCCTGTGTGAGCAACATGCTCCGTGAAACATACCAGAGGAAGGATGGCATGGTGAAACCTCAAACAACCTTCTTCTGCAAATCAAGTTATAAATCACAAAGAATTGTAAAGTTTTAATATTTATCATAGTCTTATTTTGTCAAAGTGAAATAAATAATGAATGCATTAAAAGTCTTCTACATAAAACACAAAATAATAAACATGATAATCTCAGAAAAAGAAAAAATAAAACTCAGCACAAGTTCTATCAGACCCATTCAGTCAGACCACAAACTTCCCTGGTACATTATAATGTCTGCACCCCAAACACACAGTAAAGCTACATACTGTAATTCAGTCAAAAGTGCTATAAAACAGCGTTACAGTACATGTGAACAGATGCTCTGCACTATATTCCACATGACACAGAGTTTGGTGTGTCACATATATGTTATAAATCACTTATGATAATTAGTGTGTTTTAAAAAAGACAAACCAGAAAGCATTGTTAGCTACCATAACTAACAAGCTAACATCTCAGTGTCATGATTAATCTGCGCACTCTTCAAACAGCACATCTAAGTAGACACATTATCAGCTGATGCAACAAAACTCTTTTCCATTGCAGGAATGTAACATTACACATAAACACCCCACTGTACACTACCTGCTCAGCATGAATGTGTGTCACTATTTGCTAACACATTTATCGCAATAACTGTAAAGGTGATAAAACAAAAATCCAAAACAACAATTACAGGTTTAATTACAGTGGAAACACTAGGGTTTTAACAGTTCAGGTTATTGGAAGCCTCAGCTGCTGCAGTGGAAAAGGTCTAATAGAGCAACCCAATGGCCAGGAAAAAAACGTGGCATACTACATTTCTACAAAACCACAGATATGTGACATTCATGTTCGATACTTCAGCTCCGTGACGCATCGCAAAGAACCGATGGGATCACTCCAAAGGGGCCCACTTGCTTCTCAAACCTACCACACCGCGCTGGCAACTCTTCTCTGCAATCGGGCTTTCCCCCTCCACCAAGACTCTCACATTTTTGGTGTTCAGTATAGACTTCTCTTTTGTTTTTGTTTTTCAGTACAGTATAGTAGACATGTATATGTTTATTTTTGATAATCTGCATGGAGCACAACCACCTCAAGGCCACAATACATCAGCTACACTGCCTGTTTCTCCCCTGTTTTTTTTTTTCGTTTGTTTGTTTATTTGTTTGTTTGTTTTTCCTCCTTCTTCTCCGCATGCACTGTCACTATATAACTCAGGACTTAAGCACCTGCCCCCTCCCCCTTGCTTGTTTCCTTACTTTCCCCTTGACACACTTTGGTGTATCACGGCCCTCTCTGACTCATATTAGGAAGTTTTTCCAATAAAGGCTGTTAGGCTAGTCTCCAGGGAGGGTGGGTGACGGTCACAACCACGCATTATGGGTATAAAATACTTGACTGCAAGATTAACAGTGCATCAATCTTCACAAGAAGCTTACACCCTTTAGTTGCGCTAAGCTATGAAGACCAATGCAGACAAGTAGGAAGAAAAAAAAAAAAAAAAAAGATATGTGACATTCACACGTTATCATGTAGGGCAGTGGTTCTGAACTGCTCCAGCCACAGGGTCAAGTGGGGTTGGGCGGATCCATACCAAAATATCAATACCCTTGATACTATGTTTTCATTTTGAAGATTGATCCAAGCGCCAATAAAATCGAAACCAAAAAGGGATCAGTTTCTCTCTTCTGTGTTGTAAATATTTGTATTTCAACAGTTACTGTCTGTGAAACAATGTTCTGTTGTCATGAACACATTTAGTGCATGCACTCTTTGTTTCTCTACTGCTTTTTTGTTGTCCACACTCAATCAACTTACTACAGACCCTGCAGCATCTTCTCAGTTTCACTTTCACCCAATGTTGGCAGTAGGAGGACGGTAAGCTCACCTCCCCAGCTGTTCCATTTACTGCTGAGGACTGATACGGACCCTCAGTTGTACTAGGAATAAAACTGTGTGCGCATCTGTGCTTCCATGGATGTTCGCGAACATTTGATAAGGAAGGTGTGTCCGAGCATGACTAGTGTAATCCGACACCAGTAGCAGTCATGGCTTAATGACAGAGGTAAAAATAGGGGAAGAGAACTCAGAGCTGCAACCCAAAAGAAGGGAGGGAGTGGAAAACACCTCAACATTCAGACCCCCGATACAGAGACAGAGTTCACTAGCTGAGTCTGTTCAGAGAAGCTCATACAGGTATATAGCAGCTTAGTGAAAATAATATTTTAGTCAAATCAGATCTTCAGTATTGGTTCATTTTACAATTTCAACTGTAATTGATCATCATTAGCTGTTACTTAAACAGATTGATTATTCACCCCATACATCAAGATACACTGCTTTTCCCTTCAGAAAAAAAATCTGCCATTTTAAATAATAAAAAGTATTGTATTGGTATTGATATCGGCAATTCTGGCCCTGTTTCACTTGGTATTGGATTGAAAGCAAATTTTGTGGTATTGTCCACCACTAGGGTCCAGATTGCTCCTTAGTCATTAGTTTAATAGATAGTTATCTATAGAATAGATTAGTTATTCAGTCATTCTACAGCAGAAAACAGCACTTCAAAATAAAAGCTCTGTGCTGGAAATTGACTGTTCAATTCACTGTTAAAAAACTGTGTTTTTTTTAGTAGGTTGACACATCTCAAGTTACTTGCAGCCCATTCAGAATGGAACCATGATCCACTTTTGGACTGCGACCCACCAGTTGGGAACCACTGATGTAGTAGATGCGTCAAAATTTAACATTTCAATAATGCAGTGGTTAACTTGTGGTTAGATTTTGGCACAAAAACCATTTGGTTATGACTAGGAAGAGATTATGTTTTGGATTAAAATACCTATTTTGGGGGGCACAATCCCCATTATTTGTCTGGGTGAAAAACAGCTGCTGTTCATGCCTAAAATGACTCGCTAAATAACAACTGGTTTTGTTGGTCTTGAACAGTGGTCTACACTTTATAGGCGTCTCGCCTAAGTGACACCATCCAACAACCCTTTCACCTCCCGATGACAAATTCAGCTCATATACTACGTCCCTGTAGAAACGTTGATATGATACATATAAAACATACATTTGTAACATATCTGTGGTTTGCAGAAATGAACAATGCCAATATTTTCTTCTGGTGACTGGGCTGAATAAAGAGCCAAAGTAAAAGTGACACTACTGGGTTCTGAAGGAGAAGGAAGAAAACCTCCTACACAATCACACTTGAAACGAGGAAATTTCTTTGAAAATAAATAGTGCATCATGTGGCACACTCCATTTGTCCAGACAGGGATGGTAAACCATGTTGTTTGTTTAACATTGAGCAGCCTTCATGGTCCAACAAACCCTAGACTTTCCCGGGGAACCCGTTATTTTTTTCCTGTATCAATGTAGAGCAAAATGATGTTTCTTTTTTAAACCTGACCACATTCTTTTGTTGACATCCCAGCATTGGTTGCAATGTCTGGGAAAGTCAACAGCAGAAGCAAGAGAACCTCTAAGGCGTAATACGTAGGCGTGAAAGGCCAGTGACAAAGCTGCGATATATCACGACTTGGAATGAGAACGTGTCCAGCCATGTAGAGAGCTATCAGGATGAATTTGTCAAGCTCCCTAGTCCAGACATGTCTGTTACAGTACTGCACACAAGCTGAAAACACTAGACAGTAACATTAGAAAAGAGTGTATAATATATACAATGACATTTTGCTCCACAACAGATGAAAGAGAAAGAAAATTCCACTGAGTTCCAAAGGCTAGCAAAATAGCAGGTAGCCCAGAGATGGTGTCAGGACTTCAGCTGTCTATTTTTTCCTGGCGCTGAAGACCTCCAGTATGGGTATGTTATGTTACCTGGTAACCCTGTGGTCCCCTCCTAATCTCTCTCTGATTTTGACCACTGTGAACCCTACTTAGTAGAGAATTTTTATCTTATTACAACAGTCAGCATCAGTCTTTTAAACTTGCTGGGTCCAATCTAGTAACTATAAATATTTAGTTTTTCATGAGGTTAAGGGTCATGATTCAAATGTTGTCATTCTATGAAGGGGACGCCTAGAGGTTAAGGGAGGCCTGTTGGTGGTGCTTCTTGTTTTAACCCTCCTGCGGGATGATGAAACTTTGTTTTTCCGTCTGAGAGAAGGCTGTGTTCTCCTTCTGTAAGCTTCCCTCTTTGGTCCGTTGGGGGGCCCCAGGTGTTCAGAAAGTCTTTTTTGAAATACTACTTGGAACTGCTGTGCCTGCAAGACAAAGATAAGAAAAAGGAGTTGATTCAAGGACATGTAGCTTGGCTGTTCTTGGCCCTGTGTGAGGCCTGTACTGATCTGCTGGGATTTACCACCGATACCAACTTTATTATGCTGGGGGTTTTTTAAAGTCACTATTCATGCACTCTTCATTTTTGCTCACATTCTGATTTGACCTTATGTTTGTAATATATATTAAACTCTGCAATCAGCCAACAACACCAATGTATAAATGGATACTTTTCTTAAACTATTCTTAAAAAAAATTTCTTTCTCTTCTTCATGCTAAGTGTAGGACAAAGTTGCGTTGTATTTTACTTCAGACAGCAGAAGAGCTTGACAAAATATTCTTATCTTGAGAGTGTACTTCGTTGTCATTACATCCAGCTTTGGTCAAGAGTACAAGTGTCCTTAATTTAGGGGAGATCTTTGTCATTGGATGTGACTGGCCTCTTTGCAGAGGTCCATAAGGGTCCACATGGGTCCCAGACCCAATTGGGGCTGGGTCCCAATTATTCTGAGTCAGGTTGGGTCGGGTCCCTTTGTATTGCTGTAGGTCTTTTTTGGATCAGGTCTACTGATACCCTGGTCTACTTGGACTGGGTCAGACCATCCTCTGTCTCCTTTCAGATTTGGTCTCTCTTTGTTTTAAAATGTATTAATGCATGTCGGCTTTGGGTAGGCTTTCTATGGGTGTGTCTCAAATTGTGCCCAGATTTTGGCATTCATGCTGACCTCTACCTATTCAGCTCATGACAAAGCATCGGTATTTAACAACTTTAGAATGAGAATTGGTTGACCTACTTGATCTTTCTGATCCCACCCTGTGACCCCCCAACTACCTTGAACAGAGACAGGCGAGACACCTGTTATCTTATGACCAAAGTTCCATACTTAGGTCACATGACAACACCTGAGCCAACTCCAGTCACTGCTGAGCACCATGAGATGCAACAGCACTGGGAAAAGCAAGTAAGTGCACCTTGAGGTCAGACTGAAATATCATGCTCAAGCAGTAGAGGTCTTACCGTGTCTGCCAGTGTAGTGGTAGGCAGTGCTGTGGTTGTGGCTGGGTAAGCTGTGGTGTGCTGCTGGCTCTTTGGTTTGGCACAGTACATCTCCAGATGCTGAAGTTCACAGCCAGCTGGCCGACAGCACTGGTCAACAATACCCTTCCCTCTGGGCCGAGTGCCGTAACCAGACCACGTACCTTTACCTGCAGAGAGACAAATGTCCAATGTGAGATTCCTGTTGTTCTCCTGAGCCTTCCTTACTTTATATAAGAAAACAGGCCAGCATAGATGTCCTCAGGAAGTCACTAAAGGCAAAACATTCATGGTAGCAATAGATACATAAACCTTTTGAATGTTTGCATGCCTGACAAAGTCTTTTGCTTCTACCGATTGCAGTAGTCATTACACCTTACACATATGTATTGGACATGTGCATAGTTTGCCCTGATGGTTTAGCCATTGCATTTCAAAAAAATTACATGGTCTTGCTTGAGGGGGGAAATGGAAAGTTTAAAAATACCATTTTTATACTCCTTTGGGAGTATAGAAATACCATTTCATGTCAATTTCGCTAGTAGGTGTAAGTTATCTTCCTCTAGACAAAAGTGACAGGCAGGAAAAACATTGTCATTGTAAAGTGTCACATGTGAAAACCCATTTAAATGTAATGATGTTGTCTTATAAATAGGGTTGCAGTGGTATACCGGTTTTAAGGTATGATCTGACAGGTAACAGTTATCATACTGTGTACAATATTGAAAACAAACACGACTGGACAGAGAATCACAACTTTATTTTTGTAACTGTCAAAAGGGAGACTTTTTACACTAACTTCTATTTTTACAAAATGGTTTCCAGTAGGGTTGTAGCAGTCAATCTCAATTTTATGTTTTACTCAAACTTCCATCAGAAAATGGTTTCAGGTTTTTTATAGTAATAAAATGTTTGTTCAACACAAAAATAACCCTCTGTTTTCACTCCATCAAGTGTCATTTTGTCTTATGATGATGATAATAATGATTCTGTAATGCTGTGATACAGTGAAACTGTGATATTTTCTGAGACAATCATCGTACTGTAAACATCTCATACTGTTGCTACTCTGCTTACAAGATAATAGGTTAGCATTGCTTGTGTTTTTAGTCAAGCCAGCAGGGTGTTCTATGGACAGCAGTGCCTATGTTGGTTGGTCCATTATCTTGATACAGATTCAAATAGCTCAACAATTACTGAGCAGTTTGTCATAAAATTTTATGCAGACATTTATGGTTCTCAGAAGATGAATCCTCATTACTTTGGTGATTTATTTCCTCTAGCCCCACCATTTTGATTTAATGTGAAATATCTCCACAACTATTGTGTAGAAAGCTGTGAAATGTAATTCAGACATTCATGTTCCCCTCAGGTTGAACTGTATTTATTTTAATGGTCTTCTGATGTTTCCTCAAGCAATATCATCAGGTCCTGATTTTTATGTGTCCCATACTTGGTTTCTGACCAAATACCTGCAAAACTATCAGCTTCAGTTCTACTTTGGGTTTAGTGTTAAAGACCCAGTGTGCAGAATTTTGAAGGATGCACTGGCAAAAATGGAATGTAATATTAATATTAATAAACTATGTTTTCATCAATATATAATTACCTACCTATAACTAATAATTGTTGTGTTTTTATTATCTTAGATTGATCCGCTTATATCGACATGCAGAGCGGGAACTTTTCCACAGAGTCCACCATGGTGTTCTTACAGTAGCCCAGGGTGGATACCTCAAACACTGGCCCTCGCCATTTGCATTCTCGCATCAGCCACCATAGTTCTCCTACACACTTGGAACATGGAAGTTTCACTTGGTTGCAATCTGCAACTTCATTGCTAGATGCCACTAAATCCTACACACTGGACCTTTAATTAGCAAATGTTAGCATGCTAGCACACTGGTAAACTAACTACAATGGTGGACGTGGTAAACATTACCTGCTTAACATTAGCATGTTAACAATGTGTCAATGTGAGCATTTTAGCATGCAGATGTTAGCACTTAGCTCAAAGCACTTAACTACATTAATGAAATATTTCGTTTTAGTATCTGTCTGAAATGGAGATCTCATTCAGCACACTATCCTCTACAAAGTAAATTCTGTGAGTTGTCTATTTTGCTCCGTCACCGTGTCCTCTAAACCATTTCAGTTTAAGAGGCTCTGTGCTCCTCACTGATGTCTACACCTTTCTTTGTCATGAGTGTGAAAGCGGTGCTGCCCTCAGATAACAAGTGTTTTAACAACAAAGCTATCACACATTGAGGCACAGTGTTCTGGTGAGTATGCTGCCACTTTGGTGGATTGCCACCACCCTGATAACATATGGAGAGAGTGGCCTTGGCCAGAGCAGGGTAAAGGTAATCGAGTGAAAGGGCCTGTGGTTGATTTTCTGTGTGCAGTGGGAAAGATTATATTCTAATAATAATAAACTTGATTTAAATTAAATGCTGCAACATGCCTCACAGTATAAGGTCCACTGTGAAGTGGCTGCTGTCAATTCAACCCATGTTGTACCAGTCAGCTCATTCTGTCAGAATGAGCTGACTGGTGAGCAGAGTCAGATGTCTTTCAGTTGTATCTAATGATGAAGCAGTACTATATAAAACTATGTAAACAAATTTGGCCCAAAGAACAGAAGAATCATAAGATAATAAATTGCATAACAAGTTGAGTTTATGATTGTTTTATAATAATTGAATTTACAGCTAATGTTTTTAATCATTTTCCTTTCATCTGCAAACAGCAGAGTCTGACATTTGCAAAACACACACACACACACACACACACACACACACACACAAAACCACAATAGTTACAAAGCTTATTAGGCCATAATGCATAATTGATCATTTTGTGCATACTGTGGGAGGAAGCAGAGATAAAGTAAAGTTGGTTTGAAGTGTGCATGACATGAAAATTTAAAAACCTTTCAACAAAGATTGGAGGAGCTTTTTGGTCATTTTGCATGCACTTTTAGGACAGTCCCTAACTTCAGCTTGTCATCAAAAAGGCACAAGCTTAAATACTGATTTTTGTCCAAAAAAATTATCTGTTTATATCTAAAAAGTGTACTTGCATTTACTTGCATCTCAGTTTCCAGAGAATGAATCTTAATAATATTGGTGACCTAACCTCTACGGCCACAATAGGGCTGCAGTAGCTCAGGGACTTGGGTTGGGAACCAGAAGGTCTGCAGTTCAAAACCCTGTATGGTCCAAGTATGGAGTGTGTACAGGATAGGTGCCCTTGAGCAAGGCACTGAATCACCAACTGATCAGGGTGCCTGTCAATAGGCAGCCCCCACACTCTGACATCTCTCCATTTCTGGTGTCATTAGATAGTTGTGCAAAACATATGGATAACATAAATTCAGACTTACCTAAATAGATTCCACGATCCCCACACACAAATATGAGGTCACTAAGGAGATCAGAACCACAGCGGAGTTTGGCTGCCTCTGAGGACAGCGGCCAGGCTGCCAGACACATAGTGGAGTAGAACATACACACCCAAACACAGAACACCTGGAGACAAGAGGAAAATCTTTTAATACATAACTTAAACAAAAGCAAAAGCGTGGATGAATTTTCTGTCCAAGTTCTTGATGAAAACAGATTGAAATCCATGTGCTGGGTGTGCCATGGTGTTCTGAAGGGTTAAGGTGCCAGCCATGAAACCTGGAAGAGATAGTTCGGATTTTTTTTAAGTGGGGTTGTATGGGGTACTTATCCATGGTCAGTGTATTACATAGAGTAGATGTCAATCGGCACACCCCCAGTTTGGAGAAACAGGCTGGAATCTGACATGGGAGCTAAGCAATATGCTGCTGTGGAGGGGTCAGCAACAAAATGTATTTTAGCCACCTAAAAAAAAAAAAAACAAAAAAAAACAAAACACCTAAAACAATTGAAATCATGTAAGTTTACACTATAATGTGAGTATTTTCACAGCTTTACTTTTCAGTAGACACCTGTTTTGATAGGTAAGTCTAAACGGCTTCAGTGCTCCATCTATGCTCTTTTCAAAGCCACCAAACTCCATCGATAACAACAGTGATTTAACATTGTTTAACACACAGGATCTGCTGCTTCTACTGCTGCTTCAGTCAGTTAAGCAATGTGTCTTACTGTGACTTTGGTGAATCTGAACTAACCCTTTTAAGTGTCAAAGTCACCTTATAACATAAACATACAGCATATGCTTAAACTGATTTTTTTAGGTGTCTAAAATATGTTTTGTTGCTGACCCCTCCACAGCAGTCCATTGCTTATCTTCCATGTCAGACTCCAGCCTGTTTCTCCCAACTTGAGGTGTGTTGACTGACATCTACTCTATGTAACATACTGTTGATGGATAAGTGCCCCATACAACCCCACTGAAGTATCCCTTGAACTTCCCTAGTTTGGTTTCCCTTGTGCTGTAGTCATTCCTCATCTCTGTCTCCTTATGCCCTGTCATCTCTTTACTGTTGGCTGTCTACTGAAGGCATAAAGGCCAAACAATGCCTGTAAAAATCACATGCTCATGGTAACTCTTCTTTCTCTAGCTTTTTTGTCACTTGTCAGACAATGGAAGAGAAAATTTGACTGAGCCTAAAATGCAAACGTGAAAACTATTATTGATGGCAGTGGCAACTTACTTTATATTGGCTAAAGTTGTAATAAAAGGCTTTTGTTTAGTACGCAGCTGCTTTATTTAGAGACCCTGTTAACAACACTCAGGTCATGTCCTTTGCATTATTGTTTCAGGGGGACACATGAATTACACGTGATGAGTGATTTTTAATGGATGAGTGATTTCTGTCATTTTCCTTCAATTTAATAAGATAATAATTTAAAAAAAAAACTAAATGAAAACTATTCTACTAAATGAAACAAGATACATTAAAAAGACATAATTCTGAGAGATAACACAAACAACACTGAGACCTGAGACATGCTCAGTTGCCAATTCTTAAAGTCAAACATTCTGAAAATTGACTGTTGAAAAAAGATTTTTCAGAAGTATATTTCTCACATTGGGGGTATTTATAGGTTTTGAATCAGTGTTCAGACAATCGTCCATAATATTCAGAGAAGATATATTTGAAAATAATGTGGACAAAGGAAATTGGACAGTACAGTTAACCAGGAGTGCTAAAATGCTAACTCATTTCAGGGTTTATACTCATTCCTGCAGCACTCTATAACAGCCTGTGGCTGTTGTCTATGTAAAACACTCAAGACCAATTTTACAGGACCAATCATTGCTGACTGCCAGGGGCGGACTGGGACACAAATTCAGCCCGGCCCAAGGCCCACACACCAGCCCACACACCGGCCCACACACCAGCCCACACACCAGCCCACACACAGGCCCACACACCGGCCCACACGTTTCTACCTATAATCCTCTATATGCTTGTACACAGTACACAAACGCTGTCCTCAGAATAAACTGCATAAGAAAACAGCAGTTATTGTTTAATTCCAGACTATAAAATAAATGCAATAATGAATTGGCCACAAATGGCTATGTGTTTATTATTTAACTTAAAATAAGAGCATATGACTCTATCCAAATGCATCTAATTTTATGCACAATATAACTGCAATAGGCCCTATAGTCAACTTTTAGTCAACTTATTACTACAACAAATAAATCCCACTTAATACTACTAAAAAGGTTTTCCTCTGACTACAATGTAATGAATAGTAGGCTATGCCTTCTCATTGCACCTGTCATATTTCTGGTCTCATCCTCCTTCTCCTCACGACTAGGGTTAGTCTGTCCCTCAGCTTCATTATCCTTGGGACTGGGAGCACCACCTAACGTTAATTGCATGATGCATCCACAGGAAAAAAGCAAGCACATATTTTCTTTTAGTACAGGTTTAAATTATAATGACTTAATGCAATACCTAGTAGGCTAGTCAGCCTCTTGAACCAGACACCTAGAAGAAATACGCAATTTGCCAAAGCCAACCTTGCACATTACACACTCACAAACGTTAGCTAATGTTAATGCACTTGCTATAATGGCACTGTCGGCTCCAGCTCCATCTCCGTCATTAGCAACACCAGCAGCCTCAGCCCATCAACCAATGCCGTGGCCAAACAGGTCGGTTATTTTGGAGAACTTTGCTGCCTCGTCTTGTAAAGATTTAAGTTTTTTTATTTGAGTTTTTTTCCACGCCACCCTTTCTTTTTTTACCAGCTATATCCGGTTCGGTCAAACTAACTTAGCCTGGTCTGCCATGAGTAATGACTGATGACTGCAGCTGAGCCAATCAGAATTCAAGAAAAACGAGGGCCTCTTTCGTATTGGAAGAGGCTGCCCTTATCTTATCTATATTTACACCTACGTTCCCTCTGAACCTCTCACAGGAAACAAACAACATGGGAGGAGCGCGCATTGCAGTACTGTCAGCTAGCAACTAGCTTGACATTCACTAGTCTTTTTTTTTTCTTTTCTGTTTTTTGACCACCTGGCCCCACCGGCCCCACCAGGCCACACCAGCCCAGTTGGTGACCGCCCCATCTGGATTTGTCCTGAATGTCCTGATGGCCAATCCGCCATTGCTGACTGCAGTTCACTTAACAGCCTCAGAGACAGGTGTCAAGGAATTTCTGAAAGGTACATACAGAACCTTTAAGATTCAGAACCTCAAGTAGTGTTGTAGCAGCTGAAGAAATTAGTACACTATGAATATGTATGATTTGATTTCTTATTGAATGATATTGTTTCAGTGTAGATATACACTGCCTGGCCAAAAAAAAAGTCACCACCAAAAAAAAAGGTCATACACTCTAATATTTCGTTGGACCGCCTTTAGCTTTGATTACGGCACGCATTCGCTGTGGCATTGTTTCGATAAGCTTCTGCAATGTCACAAGATTTATTTCCATCCAGTGTTGCATTAATTTTTCACCAAGATCTTGCATTGATGATGGTAGAGTCTGACCGCTGTGCAAAGCATTCTCCAGCACATCCCAAAGATTCTCAATGGGGTTAAGGTCTGGACTCTGTGGTGGCCAATCCATGTGTGAAAATGATGTCTCATGCTCCCTGAACCAGTCTTTCACAATTTGAGCCCGATGAATCCTGGCATTGTCATCTTGGAATATGCCCGTGCCATCAGGGAAGAAAAAATCCATTGATGGAATAACCTGGTCAATCAGTATATTCAGGTAGTCAGCTGACCTCATTCTTTGAGCACATACTGTTGCTGAACCTAGACCTGACCAACTGCAGCAACCCCAGATCATAACACTGCCCCCACAGGCTTGTACAGTAGGCACTAGGCATGATGGGTGCATCACTTCATCTGCCTCTCTTCTTACCCTGATGCGCCCATCACTCTGGAACAGGGTAAATCTGGACTCATAAGACCACATGACCTTCTTCCATTGCTCCAGAGTCCAATCTTTATGCTCCCTAGCAAATTGAAGCCTTTTTTTCCGGTTAGCCTCACTGATTAGTGGTTTTCTTAGGGCTACACAGCTGTTCAGTCCCAATCCCTTGAGTTCCCTTCGCATTGTGCGTGTGGAAATGCTCTTACTTTCACTATTAAACATAGCCCTGAGTTCTACTGTTGTTTTTTTTCGATTTGATCTCACCAAACGTTTAAGTGATTGCCGATCACGATCATTGAGGATTTTTTTCCGGCCACATTTCTTCCTCGAAGACGATGGGTCCCCACTATCCTTCCAGTTTTTAATAATGCGTTGGACAGTTCTTAACCCAATTTTAGTAGTTTCTGCAATCTCCTTAGATGTTTTCTCTGCTTGATGCATGCCAATGATTTGACCCTTCTCAAACAGACTAACATCTTTTCCACGACCACGGGATGTGTCTTTCGACATGGTTGTTTAGGAAATGAGAAGCAACTCATTGCACCAGTTGGGGTTAAATAACTTGTTGCCAGCTGAAAGATAATCGCCCATGCAGTAATTATCCAATAGGAGGCTCGTACCTATTTGCTTAGTTAAATCCAGGTGGCGACTTTTTTTTTGGCCAGGCAGTGTACTTGAGATATAGTGCCACAGCTAACAATGTTTTTTTTGTTGTTGTTGTTTTATCAGTGAATGCAGCAGGGTTTTCAGCCTTTTCTGCTCTTGACCCTGTTTTAGGTCCATGACCCCATCCAGCAACCAGACTGCTGTCAAGTTGTAGATTCGATTATGAATCATAATATATACTGTTGTAATGTAGTTTTATGTGTGGGGAGGAAATTCTCAGTGGATTGAATACAAGTATGCAAGTGTGCAAACCATTATGACACCATTCACTAAGATGGACGAAAAATTAAAAAAAAAAAATTAAAAATTAAAAGTCCTTGTCAATATAAATGAAACTTGAAAGTTGCTGCGCCAATTCATTTTCTCTTAGAACTGTATCAGCTCTAACAACCACTCCCATCAGCATATCATGTAAACCTATAGGTGCTTCAGACCTAGATTCATTTTGGTTATAAATAATCAGAAATAGAAAAAAGTACATCAGCAGTTCCCAAAGCTAAAGTCATGTCCTTGAAGTGCTTGTTTTGTCTGATCAACAGTTCAAAATCCAAACTGCACACAAAGACATTTAGTAATACTTTATTTTATAGCTCCTTGATGTTTAATAATTTCCCAGGAAGTTTCCTGGAAATAAGAGTTATGTGGTGTTAATAACAGTTCAAACAAAGCCAAAGGGAGACAGTTTATAAGACTTGTTCATTTTCACGGAAAGAACCTTGAGGGAACCGTTTCAATTCAGTCCAAGCAAATATTCATTCATTGTTCATTTACTGTTGGCAAACTTAATTCTCCAAATATGTTGATATTTTGCAGAGTAAGCTGATGTGCTGTACTCTAAAAATAAATAATACAAGTACATTAATTCAGTTTTCCTCCACTTTTTCCTTCAGTCAGAACCTGAATGATAACCTTCCTATGAATTTACAGTACAAACCAGCTCTTCTCTGGGGAGATGCGATAAACTTTTGCACCCATAAAAAAGCTGTAGCAGAGAAGAGCAGAAACAAAAACAGCAGAGACCAACTGATCCAATTACTATGAACAATTCCTATTAACTCTTCGATAAGAAGCAGGTGCCTGCACTACAACACTGCATCAGCAACTTGTCAGTCGCAGTTGAGGGAAATCACCAGAGGGAAACTCAGTCTTACCTTCAGTGTCTGTGGAGTGGCAGCTGGGCAGCATGCAGAGCACATCCTGTCAGAGTCGACTGACTCCAGGAGACCTATAGTCTTATAGTTTGGCAGCAGGAGGGCAGGACCAGAGCACTGAGGTCTCCACCCTGCACTCCTCACACCTCTTCAAATCTCATCTCAGCCCATATCAGATGACTTAACATGCTGTCTCTGGGGATGAACTTGTTCTGCTGTGTTCTTACCAACAGGATATTCATCATAGTTAACATGATATCCATTTTTGAAAGCTGGAACTGAATTTTAACAAGTGCATACCCCAATACAACAGCGCTACAATAATTCAGTTTGAGTTGAAACTGTTGATTCAACAGTCATTTTAAAAGGATTTATTTTGTGGTGCTGTTGAATTGTATTGGATTTTATTGTGATGTGTTATGTGATTTGTTTCTCTCATTTTGTCCACCCCATTTCTGTCAGTGAGTACGATTGTCTGGTCCCATTCATTCTGTATGGGACATAGGGTGAGCCCTGGTAAAGTGGGACAAAAGAAAACAAACAACAACAACAAAAAACCACTGACCTCATCACTAAATAGAAAATAATAAACATGTCTGCGTTCAAAGAAGAACTCTCATTAAATCAAAAACAGTGCCATTTGCTATGTATGCCCTTAAAAAGGTAAACCCATCTCCATCGTGTTTTTCTTTTCTCTTGACTATTTTATCCAGAAAAAAGAAAATAAACACTTCTTTTTTCGGTAAAATAGTCAATAGCATCTATAATAAATGTATATGCTTATTCAAAAAAAAAATTACAATATACTATTAAAATTGTTAAATAAAATGAATAATTCTTCATTTTCTTTGTTATTGTTTGTGATAAACAGATATGCAATGGTGATTGCTGGGTAATGATATGTATGTTAATGTTATCCAATGTCAAGTGTCTGATCATGTGACAAGACAATATGTGTACTATGGTGTTCACTACCGGGCCCATCAGTTCAGAAATGTATTCACATAAACTGATAAAGAAATCGTAATAGCATGCACTGGGGCCCAACATAACTACCTCACACCACTAGTTTAGAATAACCTACTGTGCAAAAAGCAGAAATCAAATTTAGCCTGTGAATTAATTTTAAGAAAATTTTTTTCATGAAGGTCCTTCTTTTTGAATTTAAATGAAATAAATTACACCCATTCCAAAATACTGTGAGGGGACAAGGGCGGGAGGGAGGGAGGTGGTGGGAGTCTGCTGTACCTACACACCTTCTTTAAGAAAAAAGGTGATGTTTATTGTTGTTATTGTTTATATTATTATTACTGTGTATTCACTAGGCCTACACTTGAATAAGAATGTATTTGAAGTGTTACAGTTTGCCAGTATAGGTGCCCCACTTTAACAGTAGCACCTGGTAAAATATGGTTTTGGGTTACTGTGTGTTTGAGGAGGATTCATCCATTTAATATTTATTTGTTTTTTCTTCTGTATAGTGTAATAGAGCTGTGAGGCTATTTAGAATAGTATTCTATGGAGGGCTAAGACATTTGAATCATAACTAAAAATTATGCAGAATGTAGAAAGTGTCCCACTTTACTAGTATTCTACCCTAGGTGAAGTGTGGAAAGTGACCCTGAGAGCACGCCATGCTGCAGCTTCAGAAAACACATGCTAACAGACAAAACAAAAGGAAATGAAGGAAACATCCTTCCTCTGCGAAATGAGGAAACAAAAAATACAGCAATGCTGCAAGTCACACAGAACACAACAAGGATAAGCTAATGTTGCAAGTTTGATTTTAGATTAAACATTGTGATTACATGATTCAGATGTGAATTGTTAAGCTATCAGTGTAATGTTCAATAATCAGTCCGTTGGAGTATGTTCAGGGTTTGGACTTAAATAGGAGGCATACTGGAGAGACCATACATGCATTGCAGCCTCCGTAAACACCCTGATGTCGGTGCACGTGCTCAGCCTCTACACAGACTACCTTGAGTCTGTGATCACTGCGCAACATTAACTAATTCCTTTAAACTCACTACATTACAATCAGCAGAAGGCTTGGTTACAGCCCTACACTGTACATGAGTAGTAGTGGCAGGTGGATGCAGATCATGTAAGAGATAATCTGCTGAATGCGCCTTTAAAGCCACACTTACCTTTCTGGAAATTTTACACTTTTCTTTTTTTAGGTTAAAATGCTATTAATAAGCTGATGGCACACTATAATGTAAGTTAATTCCACCAGAGATGAAAACTCAATTTTATCATTCTTATATGGTTCTAAGAAAACTGGGGGGAAGCGCTAACCCCATCAAACCAGCTGTTCCCAGCGGCCTTCTGGCGAATGTCCACTCGCTGGACACGAAAATGGATTACATCTGACTGTGGAGATCCAGTCACTGAGGAGTGAGGGACTGCTGCGCCCTTGTGTTCACTGAGACATGGATGAATGGTAACATATCAGACTCCAGTGTTGAGCTAACGGGGCTAACACTACATAGAGCAGACAGGGACGCTGCATCGTCTGGTAAGCTCCGTGGTGTATACACAAACAATTCATGGTGCTGTGATGTGAAGAGGATCTCCCAGTTCTGCTCTCAGGATGTGGAGTTTTTGACTGTGAAATGTCGACCCTTTTCATCTTACTATTGCACTTTATGTTCTTTCTTATATGTTACACAAATTGTTTTTAAATGTTTTGTTACTTTTTACTTGGGGTATGCGAAATGTCATTTTGTTTTTGTGCTGCGCATAAAAATGTCAAATAAATAAGTTAAGTTCAGTTCATAATGTTATGACAACACAGCATCCAGTTGCTAATGGCTAACATTAGCCTACTGTAGCGTAGTCTCTGAAACATTAACGTTATCTTCCTTGTGCATTTCCACTTCCTAGTAACATCAGGCCTACTATCAAATGTTAGCACTGTTACCTAATTCTAAAACTCATCAGTCATCACTGACTCCAGTTGAGTTTTAAAACTCCGGGTTTGCGTTTGACTGTCTTTGTTGTAAAGTTACACTCGCTCTCCTCTTCCGTGTGTCTCACGTTATCTTGCAAACAGCTACGTCTACAATGAGGAAATAATGGAGGAGGGGGGAGTAGACCTTTGGAGAGAGGTGGAGTTGCAGGAGGATGGGACTTTGGAGGGAGGCGGGGGTTGTGGATGTTCAAATTTTAGTGCTGTGTGAAATGCAAGAAAGGTAAGAGTTCCTTTAAATAACGACAAAGTCACAACTCTGTACACACATTTTTTTTTATTGCAGACATAAATATTTGCAGCAACAGAAATATATTCTATGAGATTTTGTTTGAAAAAAAAAAAAAATAAAAACAATACCAAAAACTTGGCCAAAGGTGACTGTCTATGTTCAACATTATATCTTTGACAATAAATGATATTTCACCAGAGGCACAAGCACATAACTTAACTTGCTGAATTTAATCAATTCAGGGACAAGTTTGGATGGATGCGAAAAGTCTCCTGTTTGAGTCACCAAAACAACAGGTGAGCACCTGTTTTCAGACTCTTAAAAAGTCAGCAAGGTATAAGATTTGTGTACATAACTATAAAGTGCAACACACAGCGCCAAGTGCCGCTCCCCAACACACACAGGCAGCGGTGCGCAGCGGCAGCGTTGACGTGTATTTCCCACCCCAGCCCTCTAGGTGGCTGTACCTACACTAGTTGCCAACGGTTGCCAACTGCTTGTAACGGAAGAAGAAGAGGAGGAAAAACCGGAGTTGATACTACGGCGGCCGAAACGTACATAAAAGGCTTTTCTCGCAGCGCTGCCATGAGCGCCGGCCGAGCTGGAAATAGAGCAGTGGGCTGAAGCAGAGCGGCGCGGTGCGTCGGCCGACGCCAGTGTGGGTTGGTTCATAGAATATAATGGAGGCGGGCGTTTTGATGCGAGGCGTATGGCGGCGGTGTGTGTTGCACTTAATAAATGGAACTGAGAGAAACAAGGGTCCCAGAGCAAAGCAGCAAAATTGACAAATTGAGGAAAACTGACATTTATCTACATATAATATTCCCATTATGACAAGCATTTCTCAAGAAAGTTAGATAAAAATCACCACTATGACATGACCATGTCTCTTGAGAGAGCTGAGTGCAGTCTCAACAGCAGTTTTGCTGCCTTCCATTTACCTAGTAAGTCATAATTTGGAGCTGGGAATGACAAAAGCAGTACCTGTCCATAACAACACATTATTCTGTCTTTTGCTCATACAAACATTGTAGGAACAATTCCACAAACAGAATTGTTCATGTCTGTGGAATTGGACGAGACCGTGTGTATGACTGTTCCAATGAGACACAAATAGGACAGAAGTGCTAATGAACAGCATATTACAACAGCTTTCACTACTGCTGATGCACAGATCAGCCTTGGATTTTGAGGTAGGAGTTGGTGAAGTTCCTCCAGCTTTCCAGAAATTTAACTTAAAGGGTTGTTCCAATGGAAATTTCCAATTGGGAACTGGGAAATTCTAACTTCCCAGTGCTATTGGAATGCACCATTTAGGTCACATGTAAAGCTTGGCCTCATGCAACCCTAGAGGAAAGGTTACGAGTCAGAAAACAACAGTATCCATCATTCAGAGCAAATATGGAAGTCCTCAAAAATAAAATGAAAATATTTTACAAGTTTTAATCAAAAAGAAAAAAAACCCCGTCTTTTCTTTTTGTGTAAAACCAGGTAAAACGATAATCAAATAAAGCTGAAGAACAAAACCTTTGTTTTTATTACCAATACAATGTTGCTCAGATCTAATTCATGCATCTCTCCCTCGTCCTCCTGATCCAACAACGACAAAAGTGTTTTGTCGTTGTCCATTCAAATGCAAAGGATTGGATGTGACTCCCTTGTGTTACTGTTCACCGCTCAAGTATTCTGTTTCACTGGAAAATATATCACAGTACAGAAACTAAAGAAGCTATAACTTCCGTTTCACAGGGACTGTAAGGAAATACAATTTCTAGCTTTCAATCATCCTGTCACCAAGTCAGTTTCCATGCACACTAGTATCCTGTTTTTACCGATCTAGTGTGCGGGATTTGGTGGCATCTGCTGGTGAGACTGCATGTTGCAACCAACTGAAACTTATCCATGTTATAAGCATGTGGAACTGCGATACTCAACTTGTTTTTCCTGGGGGCCACTTTTGTGAAATGCGGCCCCCCGGGGCCAGTCAGCAGCCCCGCACATGTATGCAGGGGTGTTCCTAGGATATGAGGACATTCAAAGCTTAGCTAAGACTTCTGTTAAGGACCAGGGGATCCTCCCCTAGCTTTTTTTTGATAAACAAGCTCTAGTATCATCCTTTATTATGTACCCTGGCACCTTGCATTGTGTTCACACCACAGTAACTCACTGCCTCCAGTCATTTCAGTGAGGGGAAGGCAGCAGAGGAAAAGAGGTTTTGAACATAGATGGTTGTCAGGGCAGTTGACAAGCAGCTGTGTAAAAACAACTTAATGTATGTTAAAAGTACAAATAAAACTCCCAGTGTGAATCACTTTAATTTCACTGTGAACTGAAATGTGGTTGGGGGGTGACAAGGCACCCTATTGTGGGCTAAATCTGGCCTGTCGGCTGTAAGTTCAGTATCACTGATGTAGAACCACGGTGGCTGACACGAATATGCAAATGGCCCTATCTATAGCCTGTGTTTGGTTTGTCCATTCTGGGCTACTGTAAATAATTCAAAACAAGTGATTATACATGAATGAAAACATAGTCAGGAACATTATGTTCCATTTCTGCCAATTTACGATTCCTCCTAAATCCTACACAGCAGAGTCTCCTTAAGTTCCTAATCATATTCTGGAGAACTAAAACATCATTACTGCTTCTCACTCTGACTGAGCTGTCATTATGAAGAGGGCAGGCTGTTGAGAGTAGCTTCTTGCTTTCTGAGTTTGGCCTTCATTCGATCAATCGCCTCCTCCTCTGCCAGCCCCTTGAAGTCACACTCCAGTAGTGACGTAAAGGCATGAGCTGCACCCTGAGACTCTCTCCTGGTCCAGCTCTGGTTGCTTCTTTGCTCTACAATACCAACTATGCTATCAGATTCACCACTGCCAATTTGAATATAGTCAGCTTCCTTATTGCCCAGGTCCCGTAGCTCACATTCACCACTGTCATTGTTGAACACCTCCTCCTGCTCCCCCTGAGGCTGAAGCCACGCTGGCCCTGTGCCTGCTGCTTTCTCTGCAGACTGCTCTCCATCAGCATCTTTATGACTGTCCACTTTGTGTAGACTGTCAGTGGACTGAAGGACACTATGTGCAGTTTTGGATGAGGATAAATCACTTGCTCTGTGTGTCACATCCTTCTCCTTGTCACTGTGGGTTACTTTACATGTTGTGTGTTTCTCTTTGGGCCTGTGGTCATTAAGCAGCTCCTGAAGGATATAGAAAGTAGTGGAACATAAGGTTAATGTTCACTTGTTAGGATTCATAGTAACAGTACATGATAAACCAAAAATCCACAGTTGACAGCAGAGGAATACAACTAACTGTACATGAAAGCAGAAACCTGCCATATTGTAGACATACTGAGTCATTTCTGTCAGGTGTTTATTGATTATTGTAAATGAACTGGATTTTACAATTGAGACACAAGCCATATTGTCTTCTGCCTATGTGTGGTAACTAAATAGACAAAACTAACCCATACAAACATCTAACTCAATATTCACACTGGTGGCAACAGGTAGGTTGGCTCAAGAGTGGTTTAAATCCTCTCTCTCTGGCAGGCATTTTTCTGAGGAACTTTGCTTGGTGTACCCCAAGGCTTAATTCTGGCCCCTATTCTTTTCTGTGTTAGTGAGCACTTCTTCTTTTCCAAGATAATCCATCCACCTGACAGGTGTGGCATATCATGATGCTGATTTAAACTTATCATTACTACACAGGTGTGCCTTGGTATGGTCACAATAAAAGGTCACTCTTAAATAAGCTGTTTGATCAAACAATACAATGCCACAGATGTCCGAAGTTCTGAAGGAGTGTGCAATTGGCATGCTGACTGTAGGAATTTCCACCAGAGCTGTTTTGCGTAGACTGAATGTTCATTTCTCTACTGTAAGCTGTACTCAATGTTGTTTCCAAGAACTTGGCAGTACATCCAACTGGACACACAACCGCAGGACCTCCACATCCAGCGTCTTTACCTGCAAGATCATCTGAGACCATTCTTCAGTTGCATTGGTTGTTTGGGTGGTGCAATATTTTTATACAGACCACACTGTCACATCCTTATGAGCACAGCAAGACCATTTTTTGATCTACTCTGCATTTGCCCTCCCTGTTACGGGGCCTATAGTGCTTCAAGTGGCCAAACCAGGAATTGCATTGAAAAGACAGCAGGGCCCCAAAAATGGAAATTGGCCCCATCTGTTTTTTTTGTTTGTTTGTTTGTTTTTTTACCATTCTTGGGTCTCTCTAACCAACCTGACTGCCAGAGATAGAAAAAAAATCATGTTTTTTATGTAAACTGAAGGGGAATCAAAAAATGTCGTTTTAATGGGTTTCAATGGGTACGTTTTTCGTCCGAGAGGGTGAGATGCCGTAAAAGGTTGCCATTTGTGTATTTTAGGCCTGATTTAGGAGCGGCTTTAAAATTTCAAAAATATCACCAAAAATAAGGTTTCAAAGTTATCAAAAAATAAAAACTGAAAAATGACTGAAAAGGACATTTTATATGATATGTATATATGTGTATAAATATATACATACATATTTATACACATAATTTTATTTATTTATTTATTTTTTTATGCTGTTACACGGCATTTTGGGGGTTATCCGTTACGTACCCAGTGCAGGACTCTGAGAATTAATTGCCTCACGGAAAATCTACTTGTCAGGGGTTCTATGAGACTTCTCTGATTTTCCGACCCAGCTATGTACCATCTCACCTTCCATTCTTCTCTTCAGTGATTTTAATTTCCACATTGACGGCATTAACTGTAAATCTGCCTACATATAAGGGTACTGTTTGCAGTGGAAATGCTAGGGACTAGGTACCATATCTGAAGTGGTACTTTTTTGGTTCCAGGTACCTTATCCATACTGTACCATACCACTCGGTGGAAACAGGGCTATTCTCTACCTAGTTTGCTCCACTGGTCTTACAATATCTTCAGCAATACAAATCTGCTCTCACTACAGCCCAGTCCACCTACTACTTACAGCTCATACACTCTGGCTCCACCAATCCCAAGGCCCTCTGCTCCACCATAAATTAACTTCTCAAATCCTACGACAACATCTCGACATCCTTCACAGCTGACAAGTGTAACTCTTTCCTTTCATTTTACCAGACAAAAATTGATTGCATCTACAGCAACCTGTCCTCTACCCCCGCCCCCACTCTCTTAACCCCTTCACCTGTCTCGCCCCATCTCACCAATCAGACTCTGACTCACTTCTCCCTCACCCAGTGGAGCTGCCCAAGTTGATGGCCAGAATGAAAAACTCCACCTGTGCTCTCAACCCCATCCCATCCAAACTTGCTAAGGACTGCCTCCCTGCCATGTCCTCAATCATCACAGAAATAATCAACTCATCCTTGAGTTCCACTTCAGTCCCTCAAACGCTCAAACTGGCTGCTGTCACCCCCATCCTCAAAAAACCTGGACTTGATCCTGACGACATGAGTAATTTCTGATCCACCTCAAATCTCCCCTTTCTGTCAAAAATACTAGAAGGTGCTGTTGCCTCTAACTTAAAGCCCACCTCTCCTCCAACGACCTGTTGAAACCATTTCAATCTGGCTTCCGCTCACAGTATGGAAACCGCCCTACTCAAAACCACCAACGATCTTCTCCTCGCCTGACACTGGTCACCTCTCAATTCATATCCTTCTTGAACTTACAGAAACCTTTGACACAATCAACCACACAATTCTCATTCTCAATTCTCAGCATCACAAGTACTGCTCTCCCCTGGCTCAGATCATACCTCATCTGTTCATCTATATTAAAAACTGCAGGTCCTCCCTTGCTCCTCTGTCCCAAGGCATCCCCCAGGGTTCGGTGCTCGGTCCCCTCCTATTCATCCTTTATATGTTCCCCCTTGGCAACATCATTCGCAGCCATGGTCTCAACTTCCACTACTACTACACTGATGACATCCAGCTCTACATCTCCACTACATCCATCACCACCGAAACTCAGTCCACTCTGACCAGCTGCATCAACGACATCACGTCCTGGATGCAAGCCAACTTCTTCAAACTGAACTGTGAAAGATCTGACATGATAATCATCCGTCCAAATCCCTCACCAAAACCTCTCACAATTTCTGCCTCACCTCTGACAATTCCACTCTGCATTCCTCCCCACACATCCGCAACCTCTGAATCATTTTCAACAACCTCTCTTTCGAAAAACATGTCTATCACATCACCATTACTGCCTTCTTCCACCTAAAAAACATAGCTCATCGCGGCCCATCACTCTCCCCCACTGCTGCTGAAACTCTCATCCATGCCTTCATCACATCCAGAAATGTCTACTGTAACAGCATTCTTTATGGTACACCATCTTCATTCCTAAATAAACTCCAATACATGTAGAACTCTGCTGCCTGTCTGCTCACCCATTCCCGATCCTGCGATCACATCACCCTTGTCCTTCAGAACCCCCACTGGCTTCCTGTCCCACAACGCATCCAATTCAAAGTCCTTCTCCTCACTTATAAAGCCCTCCATAACCAGGCCCCCTCCTACCTCACTGACCTTCTCCACAGCCACACTCCTTGCAGCCTCCGTTCCTCTGATGCCAACCTCCGGACTCCACCACTCAAGACCAAGCACCGACAGAGGCTTCTCCATAGATGCCCCCTCCTTCTGCAATGCTCTCTCCAAAAACATTTGAGACTGCACTGACCTGTCCCAGTTCAAATCACTACTCAAAACACATCTTTTCAAAACGGCTTTTAATGTGTGAATGATGTAGTGTGGATTTTATTGAAGTCTATTTTGTGATTGTTTTTAACCAATATAAAGTGTCTTTGAGTACCTTGAAAAGCGGTCTATGAATAAAATGTATCATTATTATTATTATCATTATTAATGTCAGATGCTGGGTATGGGCTGGTATAAGCTATAGACAGTTAACACAGGTGCATTTTATTGATGACAGTTTGAACACACAGAGATACCATGGTGATATCCTGAAATCCATTGATATGCCATTCACCCTCACCATGACCTCATGTTGCAGCATGATTATGCATGGACCCATGGTAGAAGGATCTGTACAAGATTCCTGGAAGCTGAAAACATCCCAGTTCTTGCATGGCTGGCAGACTCACCAGACATGTCACCCACTGAGCATGTTGGAGATGCAAGGACAGCGTGTTCAAATTCCTGCTGATATCCAGCAACCACACACAACCATTGAGGAGAAGTGGGCCAACACTCCACAGGCCACAATCAACACCCTGATCAACTCTAAGTGAAGGAGAGGTGTCACACCGCATGAGGCTCATGGTGTCACACCAGATACTGTCTGATTCTGTGGTGTATCTGTGACCATAAAAATGCATTTCTGGAGCACTAGTCAGGTAAAATCTTAATATATGTCTATTTTCAAGATCAAACTGCATATTTTAGTGACCTGTTACCTGTGAGGGAACAATGCTGTACAATCAGCATCTTGATATGCCACACCTTTTGGGGGATCTTGGAATAGGAAAACTGCTCACTAACATTTTTCAAGTTTATGACCAAAAACGTGTGAAAAATGGGAGCAGGGACAAAAGTTCATTCATTCTTTCATTTTCTGTAACCACTTATCCTGACACAGGTTTGCGGGTGTGCTGGAGCCTATCCCCGCTGACATTGGGTGAGAGGCAGGGTACACCCTGGACAGGTCACCAGACTATCACAGGGCTGACACACAGAGACAGACAACCATTCATGCTCACATTCACACCTACAGGCAATTTAGAGTCACCAATAAAGCTGCAAGTCTTTGGATTGTGGGAGGAAGCCAGAGTACCTGGAGAAAACATGAGAACACAAAAACTCCACACAGAGGGGCCCAGCTGGCTGGTGAACTCACACAGAGCCCTTTGATGTGAGGCAACAGTGTTAACCACTGCACCACCATGCTGCCAGAAACAGATGTGTTGCATTTAAATATTTGTTCAGTGTATTATCATTATACTCACCCGGTCTGTGGTGGAGAGATGATCTTTTTTTATGAGACAATCCTTTAACTGTTTCGAGGAGGTTTGGGGCAAAATGACACGTAGTTTCTTCCTTTTTGGCTTTGTGTCTGTAGGTTCAATAGAAGCCTCCGAAGAGCCGTGCTACAGGAGGACAAATAAATCTCAGATAAATCTTACCGCACACAAAATCATTCCATAAGAACAATGGTCAAATTTCTGCTTTAAACTTCACACAAAAAAATGTGCTTTATGGTAGCCATTTTCAATAAGCCAGGCAACAGTGTGAAGAAAGGTAGGTAAAAAGGAGGTGTTAAGTCCCACAAGTATCCAGTTGAGGTTGCAGCACTAATTGCACCACACAACTCAAAAATGTAGCACAGAAAAAACAACATACTGATGTTTAGCTATTCTAAGAGCTAAATTAGTGGAGTTAATATGTAAAGTTTTTCTTAAGGATGGGGCTAGCTAGAGGAAAGGTCATGCAGTCATTCAAATCAAAAGATTTCATCCTCTGCAGAGCATGAAAGCATTCACTAAATCCCATGACAATCTGAGAAATAGATTTTAATGTTTCTTGTGCACAAGTTGAAATAACAGTGGTGCTGAGTTAATAGTCACAGAGTCTACCAAGTTTGCACCAGTTTTTTTTTTTTTTTTTTTTGATACAACTCCAAGGAGTCACCAAAGTCTTGGGGCTCTTACCAGGTGCTCTACAGCCACTCATATTGTGTAGCCATAGTGATTGCTATGTCAACTGGTTCACTACTTCAATCCAGACTTGCTGCTTCTTTTAATTGTTGCCAGGCAACCACCCTATCACCTCCTTATTCTAACCGTCCTGTGTAATCAGTCTACAGTTTATTTTATTTAATTAATTATTTTGTTTATTTCACAGTATTTAGTATCTAGTTCCTAAAATGGACAGGCAGAGGGTACTTGCTGTAGCTCTGGTTGAGGGTGAGAAGCTGTCCACAAATAGTTTGATGGGCACAAGGAAACCGAGATCTGTGTGGGTACTGTACAGGAGACCCTAAAAAAGAGGGTGGATCACATGGAGTACCACTAGTTGGTCCAGGAGCTTCACCTCTATGATGGCTGTTTCCGGGCATATTTTAGGATGACTCGGGGGCAGTTTGACAACCTGCTGTTTATCGTCGGGCTTAGCATAACAAAAATGAATACTAACTACAGGGAGTCCATTGGTCCTGGTGAGTGACTGAGCATCACCAGTTTCTCCTACATTGTTCTCCGCCAATGGCCAATGCAAGGCTGACATTTTTGGCTTTAAGTAAAATGTCACAAGGATTGTCCTGAAATTTGGTACACATACTAATGTGCCCCTCAGGATGAGTTACAACGCATTTGTTTGTCTTCTGACTTTTCATCTGGTGCCATCATTAGGTCAGCTTTTTAATTTGTCCAATATTTTAGTTTGTGACCAAATACCTGCTCCTGCACCTCCTGTTTTTGAGCTACATGCTAATTAACAGATGTTAGCATGCTAATTAAGATAGTGAGCATGATGAGTATTATACCTGCAAAACATCAGCATGTTATTATTTCCATTGTGCCCCACTGTGCCTAAGTACAGCCTCACAGAGCCACTAGCATGACTAAAGACTCCTTTACAGCCTTGTTTCACTCGCTTGTCAAATGACCTTCCATGATTTCCTAATTTTACTTTTTTTTGTTTTACTGATTTGTTGCTGTTAAACTATAATGTCATGTTACCTTCTTCTGGCTTTTAGATGACAAGTCTGATGCTGAAGGAATGGAAGACAGAGACGCTGGCTGTGGATCACGAGTCTCTCGTTGAATCCGTCTTTGACTGGGCCTCCTGGCAGACAGGTAAACGTTTCCGTGGTAAATGACAACAGCATCTTCATATGTCTGCGATGCTGTGCCATGAGGTAATGGGGAGGTGAGATGAGATGTGTGTGTGGAGACATTTTTTCCAGGTATGTTGTCCTTCAGTACCTTGTAAGCTGTGGGATTGGCGGAGACAAAGGACATTTGGAAGGGACCCGGCTGAGCCCTAAACTCTTTGCCCAGCAGTGAGGACATGTTCTCCACCACACTGTTCCCTGTGTTGGTGGCACATTTCTGGCCTTTCATCCGCATGATTACTGGACAAATCCATATGCCTTCTGCAGAGTCTGTGAGCTTTCTGGAGCCCTCAGAGTCAGACAGAGGGAGGCCAATTCGTCTAAGCACTGACTTTGGTAAGCTCCGTATAGGGATGCTTTTCACCTCAGCTTCCACTGGGATGTAGATCTCTAGATTGGCAAGGAGCTCCATGCTCTGTGTGTTTACCTGTGTACATATTAAGAGTTATATTATGAGTTAATGATCCCAGTAACACCAGCAGTTCCCATTTTTTCCTCCCAGCTCAATACTAATGTTCTGAAATGAAATTAAGGGATGAGATTTAACCATATTTTCTTATACGCTCATTCTATATTCCTTGCCTAAACAGTTCTTGCAATGATTAAGTACTTTTACAAGTTTAGATGATTCTTTACATCAAAGTTTTAAATAACTGATAAGTGATTTCATTTGACAAATAGACACTATTTTCTGTTTCCCATCATCACAACCTGAATACCTTTTAATTTTTCAGACAAAATGAAAAATGTGAATATTCACAGGTAATCAATGTAATCCGCAACTGCTACTATTGTTTACTTCCATTGTGCATTGTGCAACGCCCTCTGTTGATGACACATTCTTGATTACAGTGGTTACACTAAAACTGGTGGAAACTGTGGTGTATATGGTTTTGCATAAGCTATAGCCTAAATATCATTAGAAAATGTGCCATATTTGATGAGTACAATATAATTCATGTTGGCCATATCTCTATCAAATTTGTCTTGAGAGCCCTGCTTTCCTTCTTCTGCAACATGTTTGTGTAAGTTACATTAGTCAGTTTTTGTTACATCATTTTTAAATCAAAGCCAAGTAAAAACACTCCACTTGTAAGCTACAATTAGGACTCAGTATAAATAAAATTATGGCTTTGACCCTGTTAGCAGTCTGAGCACATCAAGGTTCCTACAGCTTAAAGGGAAATTTCGGTTTATTTCAACCTGTCTCCTATCGTCCTAAATTTGTTTCAAGTGACTAGTGACATAGAAATAATAGTTAGCATGTTAGCTGTTAGCCGTTAGCCTAGATACAGCCGGGGCGCACCTAGTAGCGTCAGACCTGTTAAAACGTAAGTGAACGGGCATTCCTTCAAGTGCAAAGTTAGTCCACTAAATAAGTTTTTTTTCCACAAAGACTGCCTCATATTGTTAGGATAAATGTCAGAGAACATATAGAAAACGACATGTAAACGTGTTGTCTTACCTTACCGGTGTGGTGCCATGTTTGTTTACCATTTAGCTCTGCTTTCCAAAGCGCAGCCGAAATATGGCGAGAACAAGCAGCGATCTCATAGCGTGCCTGAACAAGCAGCAACAGCTGGAAGGCAGAACCGGACAGTAGTCTGAAAAGTTCATTCATTTATTTTATGAAAGATTTATAGAATAATGGCTGACTTTTTGCCAGACTTCGACTTTGCGGAGGAGGAATTTGATTTTGCAGAGTTTGATGGCCGCCCTTATTTATTTGAGCCAGAATACACTGATGAAGAGCTTCGTGAAATTGAAGAACGGAGGAGGAGGAGAGAGAGAGGCGCAACAGGTAACGTTAGAGGACGAGAGGGGAGGAATGGCTGCTGCAAGGCTGCGTAGCTCTGGAGATTGGTGGTGTACCTGTGAATGCTGTGCCCCAGTGCCCACAGAAGAGGAAATCCTCTGTTGCAAGGAATGGGACCGGTTGCAGCCTTATTTTCAAGGTCTGGATGTGACCGAGGACGAGACACCTCCACCTGGAGTAGTATCCAGCTGGGCCTTATCTAGAGCTGGCGAGATATATTTCGGCTGCGCTTTGGAAAGCAGAGCTAGATGGTAAACATGACAGCACACCGGTAAGGTAAGACAACACGTTTACATGTCATTTTCTATATGTTCTCTGACATTTATCCTAACGATATGGGGCAGTCTTTGTGGAAAAAAGCTTGTTTAGTGGACTAACTTTGCACTTGAAGGTATGCCCGTTCACTTACGTTTTAACAGGTCTGATGCTACGGCTGTATCTAGGCTAACGGCTAACATGCTAACTATTATTTCTATGTCACTAGTCACTTGAAACAAATTTAGGACGATAGGAGACGGGTTGAAATAAACCAAAATTTCCCTTTAAGGTAAGTTAGATTTACGACTTCTTAAGACTTTTTTAATGCCACTTGAAATGGAATTTAAGACCAGTTTTACAGTAACAACAACTGAAGGGAAAAAGGCATGAACCAACTTCCACAGAGCGTCCCAGGAATGAGCCCTAATACCCAGATATGAGTTAGCATTTTGGCACTCCATGTTCCCTCATCTCTAAGTCAATGATGTTTTTGAATGGGTTTTTAGTTAGATGCCTGAAATACAGTTTGTGGTTATCACAAGCTTAAGAGACTTCAATGTTTTATCTACAACATAAAATACGTCAGAAAATACCCCACTGTGAATTTTGAAGCCTTTATGTGTCTTAAAAATGGCAGTTGCTAAGTTAGGGATAATGCCCGACAAGAGGCCCTTTTCCACCGCAGGAACTTCGGGGTAATTTTACAGGGGGCAGGCCGTTGGTGCGTGTCTCCACCGCAGGAACCACCCCCAAAGGACAGAGTTCCGGAACTTTTACAGGGGCTAAACAAGTCCTTGCCTTGGAGTCGGTACTCAGAACGGTCCTGAAAAACTCCTGGGTGGGGCTTGGGGTTTACTTGGTGCTGATTTGATATACTCAAGGCGGGATGTGATGTCAACAGAAAGCGACAAAATAACCGGCATTTTTAAAACTCAGCAGACGAGTAGTCGCATTTTTAAAAGGAGTCGTAAGAAGAAAAGCAAGAAATGGAAGACAAATCGTACGACAAATGGACCGTTGAAGAGGTCCAGGCGTTGCTGGCATTTTATGGCAACGACGTGATACAGCAGAGGTTTGAGTCATCTTGGCGAAACGAGAAGATTTATCAAGAGTTATCAGCGCATTTAGACTCCTTGGGCATTCACCACACCGCAAAACAGTGCCGCGAAAAACTTAAGAAATTGAAACAGGATTACAAAAACCTGAAGGACCACAACAATAGAAGCGGTGCCAGTTAAGTCAATAAATGGTATGCCCAGTTAGATGCCATACTCGGACATAGGCCAGCTTACACCGGTGACCCGGGAACAAAGGACTTAGCTCCACCACCGCAGCCGTCAACAACAACAAACCAGTTCCCAACTTTAGCTCTGGAGGATATCAGTGTCGTGTCGATGGCTTGTCCCAATGAGGTTTTTTTCTGCAGGTAATATTTGCTTAACTACACTTACTTTAACAGTTTGGATAACCTAACAAGCTAGTCTGGAGATGAGTAACTTCGGTTTTGAGACTCGTCTGCTACCCTTTATAAGTTAGTTAGATGGCATAGAGCTTTTCGGGGTGAACATTGTGTTATTGAATGATAAATGTTGCTATAATGTATCTGATCAAAGTGTTAAATATTGGCGTTATTGGCTGGTTTTCCTCACCCCACTTGGTAGTGTTGGTCGTGTTTCTAGGGACGCTAACGTTAGCAGGCAATAGTCTATTGTTAGATGGCTAGCACTTAACCTGTGGGTGCAACACGCTTGTCGCATGTTAGTACTGCAATGCAAGTTTCTCATGTATGTCCATGTTTTTGTGTTTTAGAGCAACACTTGGAGACCATGCAGGTGACTTTTATGGAGCTCCTTTCCTGCAGTTCCCCTCGCCACTCTGAAGGGTCCAGACGATTCAGTGAGTAAATCATAAAGTTACAAGTCATTTAACACAGGATGATCTAACGTAATACACTGACTTCACAGAGTGGACATGCTCAGATAAGCTTAAATACAAACTGCTGAGTTTTGATGAAGGTGGCACCTATCCAATTATGTTTTCTATTGTATTGTAGGAAGAGGGAGATCGACATCAATGCCTTGAGGGAGCTGGAGGAGGAAAGCAGGAGGGAGGCCAGGGCGGAGCGTGAACTACTATTCAAGACGCTTGCAGAGCACGAGGAACGGGCGGCTGCTGTGCGAGAGAGGGAGCGGATGCTGAGAAGAGAGGAGGCGGAGGAATCCAGGCAGCAGATGCTTGCATTCCAGCAAGGACTTTTAGCCATGGTTGGGATGATCTTTAAGCCCCAGTCCCAGCCTGAGCCCCCTCCAATGGACTAAATTTACCAAGTTTTTATCTAGTTTATAGTATATAGTATAGTTTTTTTGCACTGTTATTTACACTTAGGTGTTTTGTACTGGGACCCAGAAGAAAAAGGTTTTGATATCAAGATTTGTTTTATGTAATTTAAGTATTAGACTTGAAAGAAACATTTTGCATCAAAAAAAAAAAAAAAAAAAAAAATATTTATTTATTTTTTATCACATGTCCTCTGTAGAGGACATCGGGACTTAGTCGGGTCTTAAGTCCTAGTCGGGTCCTAAGTTAGTCAATGAGTTTCAATCAAGTTACAATGGGACTATGGGGTATTTTATGCTTTATCTCTAAATATATGAGCTACAAAAGACTTTTACTCCCCTGGAATTATTATGTGGCTGTCTTCAATGCTTAACACTATGATAGATAGATGTAGCAAGGAAGAGTGTATTCTTAATAGCTATACCAATGGGCCTGAAGTTGCAGTCAGGGTGCAGGATTGGTACCCTGTACCACTGGGTTTAAGGGCCTAGTGGTCCAACTGCACTCACCCCTCACTATCTATGATGTGATGAGGTGTAATGCTTGCTATGTAGTCATTTAACACTTGCCCAGGCAATAAGAAGTGATGGGGAGCCCCATAGTTTGACCTATGACCCTTATGTGACAGACCCCAAAGACCAGGTATATTTTATTGTGTGTGGTGGCCTAGGAAAGGTAAAGAACAGTGGAGTGAAGCTTTATAGATACTATTGTATGTGTGAATACACTCTCAGCAAGAACTGTCATTGTTTAAAGGAAACAGAGCAAGAAGTTTCTCGAAATCCTCCCCTTAGGTAGTATCCTATCATAGATGCATGGGAATGTACGTTCACCTAAGGTGTTATTTTCCAATAAACCTCCAAATTCTTGCATACACATTACTTCAGAGTCTCACTCCAAGCCAAATTTCTGCTTTCACACTAAAGAAAAAGCGTCATTCCCTTTAATGGCCTTCTGCCTGCTGAATAATGGAAATTGGTTAAAAAAACAGGGGGTACTAAATCCTGATGTCCTCTACAGAGGACATTGAATAAAAGGTGTATTTTGAAAAGGTTAAAATTATTCTGGATTTCTGAAATCTCTCTAAATTAAAGTTAAGACCCTTATATTCAGTAAACAAATTAAATATTAACAAAATAATCATAACTTTTGCCAGAAAATGATCAATTACCACTCTGGCAGCAAAAAATGAGAAAAACGTAATGGCAGCAATTTTGAAAAGGGTGTGTGTTTGCCCTGTTAACCCCACCCACATAATGTCTACATCATTAGAAAGCCTTGGATATCCACTTCAGAGCACAATTTGACCCAAATGGATAGCATAAAGAATACTTGAGTTACACTAGTTAGACTAATGTCCTCCACAGAGGACAAAAATGAATTGCCGGGACCCAGGAGGCTATAGCACATTCCATATATTTAAGAGGATTTTCCTTATTTCGATATAATAAGGGAGAGAGCTTACAATTGACTCCAAAATGATGAGAAATAGATGATTCACTATCACCTGCATTCAGGTTTTCTCATCTTCACTGAATTGATGGATTTGCTAAATGGAATTTTCTACAATCAATAGATAAATGTAATGTGATTATTTCCTATAAACTGATAATTTCGGAAATGTCATAATCTACAATCAATTATGTGATAAATGCGATGATTCACATAAAATAGTTTGATTAAATGCATCATCTGAACTTTACATAGGAATCAGTAGATAAATGTGAGAAATAGTCTATCGCTAATATTAATTTACACATTTGGTGAATTTCATTAGGCATACTTGAATTGTTAGATTTAATAGGTGTTCTTATCTACATATATCTTGTCCCTTTGATGCGGGATTTATAGAACATGATATTATGCTGAAATGCTGAATTTTCTTTGTCACTTATGCATTTAGCCTGTCGGCAATATTCAGTATTGCCTTTTTTCGTAATCATGTCCTTATAGTCCTCATACACTTCCATAAGGAGCGTTTGCCTCGCTGCAGAAAAAGCCTTTCCTTTGCTTTTTGACATTTTGCAACATTTTCGGCACTCGACTAGTGTGGGCTTTTTATTTTCCCTGGGCGCGTGCATGAGTTGAGGCTTAACAGGAGAGGCTTGAATTAGTGTCAACTGGAGCCAGCTGATTTCACTTGATAGAACAGGTTGGCGCTAGATTGGGAGTTGGCGTTTAGTCAAACTTCAAGATTACACCTTAGTCTGGATATTCTTAGCTATGTTGATGGAATACCCCCCAGGCTACACGCATTCAAAAACAGAAATGTAAATAAGAACAGGACTATAACTCAATAAACTGGGCATTACATTAGAAGCTTTCTCTTGTTGTTTTCCTGACAATTTTTCCAGCCTATTAGACTGCGCAGCCTAATAGACGGCAATAATAAAATGCATTTTCAGTCCCTCTACAGCCTATACTTAAACATATCCCTGTATCATGATGCGGATGAATATTACTCCTGGCCTACACGATTCAAGTAACATTTTAATAGACCTAACTATCAATAACTACTTTACACAATCATAAGGTTTTTCGGCAGTTCAAAAACCCACAACGTCACGTCTGTATTGCAGTGAAATGTGGGTTATTTAATCAGTGAAGTCTGCACCCCAAGCAGACTCTCTGGTAGTCTAAAGACAGTCCACTTGAGGTCCCTTGTGGACTAGATGAATTTGTTCTTCAATTTCATTGGATTTGGAGCCCTAAGCACGCTAAGCATGCTTTACAGGCGATCTATAATTTATGTTGTTGTCCCCTGGACTACATAGGCTAAATAAATTGTGTTTGACTATAAGGTTAATGTTTTCAGAGGAAAATAAAACAAGACAACAGCTTTCATTAAAGATCAGTCAGATACAGTCAGGGCCTCACATCTGTACAGATGTTATTTTAAGAATCCTCACACCCCACTGACCACAAGTAGCCTATCTGTGATGCTAAATACCTCAGTAATTAAAACAGTCCTGTGTTTATATACAGCAGACTACATATAGTTAATGATACAGTTAAAATGGCTGCGTTGCAGGACCCATAAACTTTCTGCTTGTGCTGCTTAGTTTTCAGTTAGGGGCTACAGTGCTACTAGAAAAAGGTACGCTGGAGCCCTGAGTCTTTTGCACGAACGCGCTGGTGGCTGGATAGGAAAACCCAGGGTTGACTGAAAATGTTGAAGACAGACAGTGTTAGGGTTAGTCAAACCAGATAATTAGAAGATAACCTGGGTAAACTGAACTGGCTTACAGGTCTCAGGTTTAAGTGGCTTTGGGTTATAAACAACGTCACATTCAACATTAATATCTTTCTAACGTTATCTAGAAAATAACGTATGACGTGAAGGAGAAGATAGATCGTCTCATTCTTGACATCCATCACTTTTTAACAGACACAATTTTGCTTAGATGTTCCAACGAACAGATGCGTCACTATAAACTATTTGTAGCTCTCCACTCGACATGCTGTAGAAACTAGTTAACACGGACTTTGCTAAAGTTACCAACGCCATGAAACAATGAGGTTTCGGTTTTCATAGAAACAAATATTATCGTCGATAACAAACTAAAAAAAAGGCCATCTGTTTTTGCTCCTACCTTGAGTTCACAGAAGTCCCCGGCTTGTGTTTTCCTGTATTTTCACTTCGTCAGAAAAACAACAGGACTTCCGGGTCGTACATTTCAGTATAAAAGCGTCACCAAAAATGGGTTAACAAAACGTAGCCTCGCGTCACCAGGCTCTTCACGTACGGCGAAGAGCCTGGGCTGCATCCCAAGAGTCCATCCCAAGTCTCTTAAATTACTGCTAACCACCTTATCTAGCCACCTTATCTAACTGTTTAGTCCCTCCCACATTTAAGGAGTCAGGAGTCAGGAGTCAGGAGTTAGGAGCGAGGATTGTTGATTTGAGACTTTTTTTTTCAATAAACTTTATTTGTTCAACATCAGCATCATGTACACAAATATCATATATAGATATTTCCATATCTATATTTAATTATCTTTAATAAATTGATGTACACGGAAGACAAAGGAGCACACACAATACA